CTGATATGTATATCAACAATATTAACAGATAAGCATACAAGCTGTATCCACAGACTGTTGATATCTTGATAGCTAGCCAACTCAGTAAGGATTCATTTGGTCAGATGCAAATAGTCAGGTAAAATGATATTCTTGACTTTCTCAAAAGTCTTATAGGAAACAATTTGCGGAAGAAGTATAGAAAAAGAATACTTCAACTCTTTACATCACCAAAAAACTGCAACTCTCTATACATACACAAGGGAGGTGGTTAAGTTGCTACTTTAGTTAATGTCATTAAAAATTTGTTACTTTTCTTCACTGTAATTAAAAAACAAGCATATCCTAATGATTCATCATTATTACTCATGAGTAATTATTCACGAATACGTTTTCAAATTACATTCCTCAAAAAATTTTACTTGCCATGGTAATCTCTATTTCATATTTGGGTGTTTAATTTCTAGAATTGTCGTACACCAAAGGTTTATAAACATATACTTGTGTTGTGTGAAGTTGTCAACTACTACTCTAGATGTTGGGGAACAGTTCAAGTCTAATTATGTCAACAACCCAAAATCAAATCTCTAGATAATAATAATAATAAACAAAATAATAATAATAATAATAATAGAGCTTGTTTAGGGTGTGCTATATAAGCACAATTTTTATTTTATTTTATTTGCATTATATCACTTCTCTATTTTTCTACACATCTTTTTATAAAAAGTTAAAAAGTATACTCATTTAGATCATTCCAAACAATATGTTTATTTTTTACCTCATTCCATGTGTTCTAAAAAATTCCCCTAGACTTGATAATAATTTTTATTTTACTCCCAATTTCCCAAAGAAGAATAACAAGAAAGAAAAAAATTGCAAATCAATTGTAATTTTTTAAAATAATTAGATATTCATGGAAAAGTGTATGATCTTAATTAAAATTTATAAAATTTATCATTACTCTGAAATTTTTTCCCAAACATACTAATTTGTTATTCCCCCTAAAAAGAAAAAGGGGAGGGCAATCAAATCAGCAAACTGTATATTTGTTACCAAAAAAATAAATAAATTCAAAAGGAATTAATGAAAAATACAATTAATTGCAACTTAACTGAATCATAATGGTGCATTTAAATACAACTTATTCTTTCAATTGAATGGCTCTAAAAAATCATTTTATTGGCTAAAAAGGTCCATTTTGTTATATTTATATACATAAAAAAAAGAACTTCATTTTGCAAACTCGTTTCTCACTAAATTTTTTTTTTACTTTAGTCATTCTAAATAATCATTAAAAAGTAAAAAAATTAGGAATATATAAAACAAATTAGATTTTTTAGCATTAACTTTTCTTTTTTTTTTAGTAGACCTTTCTTTAACGAAGTTAGATTTTAAGGTAACTTCCAAAGGAAAATTTATGGAGTTATTTATATATATTTTTAGAACTTATATCAAGGTATTCGTCATAATGAATGCACCGTTTATGGGTCACAAATAACTTATACTTGACTTTTTGGTTATTTTAATTTGGGATTAGATTTTTTAATTTTTTTGATTTTTTTTAGAGAAAAAATAAAATGATTATGAGTCGAATGTGACATTTTATCCTATTTGACTCAAACAACCTATTTTGCCCTATATTTTAGCCCAAATATGTATCCAAACGGAACCATAAGTTGAAAAGATGTCTATTAACAAGTTTAAGGAGTGATGGTTTATAATTAGGAGTTGTTTGGAAAGTTAATTGGGACTAAATTAGTTCATTAAAAAATAAAACAAGTTAATTTAATTAATAAAATATAATATTATATTCAAACCATAATAATTTTATATTTTTTTTTCACAATTATCACATTTAAATTAAAAAATTAAAAAGTCGCGTGAAATTAATTATTCGTATATTAACTTAGAAATTATTATTATTTATTTTTTATTTTTTTACAGCGAACATGTCCAATATTGACCATTGTACAATAGTTTTTATTCTTTACGTTTGTGTTGACGTTGAATTTTTCAAGGGAAGATTATTCCAAATCACCTTACAGACGGAATTCCAATAGGGGAGTTTGGCATGAAGAAATTTCTTTTAGGTTAAAATTTATAAAAAAAATAAAATAAGTTAAAATAATTAACAAAATAAAATATCATATCAAATTTATAATTATTTTATTTTTTTTCTTACAAACATCATAATCAATTAAAAAAAATTAATTATCTTCTCAAATATAAAAATTTTAACTTACAAAAATAGTTAAAAATTAAAATAGCCTACTAAGATTAGTTTGAGATATTCTAAATAAGTATACTTTTTAATTTTTTATAAAAAGATATGTATGAAAATAAAGAAGAGAGGTTGATTGATATGACCTAAATAAGTATACTTATATAAATAAAGCCTAAAACAGCAATTTACCAAACAGCCACATTGTGTGTCGACTTGCGTGTTAATGACAAATCTTACCTAGTAGAATAAATTCCAAATAAATGTAGTGACTCGCAAACAACTCGTATCAATTAAGACCAAACACATCAGGTGGATTCAACACTTAAAATTGTCATTTGACAAAAAAATTAAAAATAAATAAATTGACATGTTGGGGTGTTTTGGAAACATTAATCTTTTGTTTTTTTTTTTTAAACTTTTTAATTTTTGTAAGTTACATTATCTCTTTATTTTTTACAAAAAATAAAAAAAGCTAAAAAATTAATTTTTTACCATCTTACCAAAACACCACTTTAGAGTTAAGATTTTTTAGTTTGAAATTAAAAAATTCATTTGACAAATATTCTTTAAATTTTATAAGAAAAAAAATAAAATAATTATGATTTGAATATAAAATTTTATCTTCTAAATTATTTAACTTATTTTCTCTCTCATACCTTTTTGACAGTGTTTGGGAAGTTCGAGACTTGAGTTCTTTTTTGATTTTTTTCACAAAAGGATAAATTTTTTGGAAAACTAAAAAAAGCACATTCAAACAAAAATCACATCAAATTCCATAATCATTTCATTTTTCTCTTACAAACATCACATTCAACCACAAAAAAATTCAATTATCTTCCTAAATACAAAAAAAAAATTCTCAAATAATATTTTACAACTAAAAAAACTACATAAAAACTCACTTCCCAAACAGCCATTTTAGTTCCAACTGGGATAGCCCAACGACGCCAAAGATATTCGACTTCACAATCAAGTCCCTCGTACAAGGACTCAATGGCAAGAAGCTTCGCCAAAAAAGGGAAATTGTGCAATTTCTATAAATCCAAGGGGTCAATTAGCATAATCACTAAGTTTTTGATCTATAAATTGAAGTTCCGTGTGGCCGGCATGTTCTCTCACACTCACAAGCCTTTTTGTCAGAAACGGTGACTCCGGAGAGAGAGAGAGAGAGAGAGGAGCTCAATCTAGACTTTTCTCTCTCGTAAGCAAATTTTATTTATTTATTTATTTTTGTTTGATATTGATCAAGAATCTCTGTGTTCTGATGCTTTGTACGTGTTTATAATATCCCTATAGATGTGTATAGATTTCTGATGATTTATTTTTAAATATGTGTTTTTAGGGGTGGTTTTCAATTTTCTGTGCAGTTGCAGTGAAAAAATGGCTTCAGATCCGAAAGTTCACCTGTTTGAAGAGGTCGCTAAGCACAACAAAACCAAAGATTGCTGGCTAATTATAGCTGGAAAGGTTAGATTTTCTTTGATTTGATTCCTTTCTTCTGGTAATTTTATTTATTTATCTCAAATCTGTGTAGAATTTAGTTTTATTTTGTATTTTCTCATGAGGATTGTTTTATTTTATTTTGTTTTTTATTTCTTATACAAGCACAATTTATATTTGTTGTATGGAGCAGTTTTTGGGTTCAAATTGGTGATGGCTGTTCATCTTATGCTTTGTTTCAATGTTAAGGTTTTATGGTAATCTCTGTTTGGTTTTGTTTTTAAAATTTATTTTCTAAAACTAGTTTCATGAAAAAATGAAAAAAATAATAAAAAAAACACTCATAATTTTCGTATGCTTTTCTACTTTATTGGGGCAAAAGTATTTTTTGTATTTATTTTCATCAAGCTTAGTTTATATTTAAAAAAATAAAATAAAATTCAGAAACAGATTTTGAAAAGTGAACCAAGCAGACTCGATTGACATCCGGTGACACTTTGGTCACCAACTCCATATGAACCCCGGTCCATGAACGTGGCTAACAAAGCCCCAAGCCACCATGGCAAGCCGCTTGCCTTTCACAGTCATAGCTGTTTATGAGACAAGATATTCAGTGATCTCAGTGATATGCTTAAACATCCATATGTTGAATCTTTCCTTTGAAAATTGTGACCGTTTCAAAATGAATAACATTTTAATAAACAAAATTTAAATTTCATTATGCATAAATGGGAAGAAAATTGAAAAATCAGCCATATAATATATATAAATTACAGATAATTAACGTTTTAAGACACCCTTGAGTAATCAGTACCAAAAAAAGGAAATATGAAAAAAGGAGAAAAGGAAAAAAGGGCCATGACTGTGTAAAGAAAACATTATGAAGATAGAGGGAGATTAAAGTTATGGAGTTTTTGATTTCCATTAGCAACAAGCTGAGCCGAGCCCAGGTCAAGCTTCGCCGAATATTATATTATTGAGTGAAGCTTGAGCAGGGACTTGCATTTTTGCTAAAGCACAAGCTGAATTGGTTTCAAACAGAAAACAGATTCTACCTGGAATCTACTTTGAATTCTAATTCACAATCAGGGATGTGTGTTTCTTTTATGAGTCTCATCCTATGATCAATTTATGAATTTGCTTTGGGACTTCCACATCAACATTTTTCTTGTTATGAATATTATTTTTCTATTAAGAGATCAGCGAAGTTGAGCACAAAACCCAAATTACTAATCTGTGAAGCAGTGACATAGTGGGGAAAAAAGAAGAAGAAACCAGTAGTGTAGTTTTCATCCTTGTTTATATTCTTTATTTCTATATATCATGACTAAATTCCTTAAATTCGTGTCTTTGAATTGGTACTTTGACTTTTAAGGGAGTGAATGAAGTGGTGGTACTGGGGGTTATCTTTCATTGTTTTGTTGTTGCTGACATACATGTTCAAGTGTGATAGTGTTCAGAGTCAGTTTTAGCGTCTTCATTCACTTAATGTCTCATATTGAAAATTAAGTTCATATACATATACATATATATATACATATATTATTTCACACACGGACAACTACAAGGGGTTTAAGTGCTTTGGGCCTATGAAGTGTGAGGGCTTAAGTTTATACCATATAATTTTTTTAGTAATTTTAGGTTGGTAAACCGACCAACCCTGAACCAAACCAAGGTGGTCAGGATGGGTTTGTTTCTCAAGTTGGTTGGTAATTCAGCTCATTTGTGTACCCCTAGTTACTTACATTTACAATACTAGAGTCATAGGGCTTGTTTGGTTTGTTTTTCAGAAAAATTTTTGAGAAAAATTCTCTACAAACAAATTTTCAAGAGTAATCAAACCAAACAAATTTTTTCAAAAAAAATTTTAAAATTTTGTTTGGTTACTTACTTTTCAAAATCTCTCTCTCTCTCTCTCTCTCTCTCTCTCTCTCACACATGCATATCAAATCAATTACTTTTTTTAAAGCTCTCTCTCCAAAACAATTTTTCAAAACCATTTCTGAAAAAAAGCAAACCAAACCAGTTTTCGTACTTTTTATCTCAAAAACTACTCTACAAACACAAACCAAATACACCCATAGTGTTTCATCCTTAGTTGCACGAAGTGGGAGCGGGGGTGGGAGCGGGAGCCGGTAGAAGTTTCTTTGGTTGGGAGCGTCTTGGGGAGCGATAATATATATATATATATATTTAATACACATTAGAAGTTTTTTTATAAATATTTTTATTTTAATACACATTAATTATTTTATTTATTTATCATATTTTTTAAATAATGTGTTATTGTTAATTTATTTTTTTTATTTTAATTGATATATATATTACAAATAAAAAATTATAATAAATAAGGAATAATAAATTATGTTAAAATAAATAAAAAGAAATGTTAGATATTTTATTTTATAATTTTTTTTATTATATATGATTTAATTAGATTTTTTTAAAAATAATTAGATGATTTGTTTTATTTATTATATGTTAAAAAGTTAAGAAATAATAATTTACAAAAATTATTATTATATTTTTTTTTTTTTAAATATATATGTATTTATATAAAGATTATATATGTTTCATCTTATATATATATATATATATATTACTTATATTAGATATATATCGTGATAGAAGGCCAGAAAGAGAGAGAGCGCGAGTGAGACGAAGGCAGAAGGCATAGGAGACGACGATCAGCAAGGAGACGATCTGCGAGAGAGAGAAAGAGAGACGAACTGCGAGAGAGAGAGAGAGAGAAAGACGATCTACCAGAGAGAGAGAGACGAGCTGCGACAGAGACGAAAAACACACACAAAGAGAGACGACCTTTGAACTGATGAAAGAAGAAGAAAAATGAAGCAAAGGAGGACATACCCAGAGACAACCTTCAGGTTCTTCTTCACCTACTTTCTCCTCTGTCTCTTTGTTGACCAACAAGCTAGGGTTTTTGTTCATAGCCACCAACAATCCCATCTTGGACAGGATCGCGTTTCTCTCTCTACAGAAATGCGATTCTTACACGTTTCTTTCTAAGAAACGCGGAATCGCGTTTCTTACAAAGATTCGTCACCTGGTTGCACGATTCCTGCAACTAAGGTTTCATCTTGTTGAGGTGTGTATCTACTTCAAAACTTTCTTTTTTAGCACCAGCAATCTAACTGTCAATGAGACGGGGAAATCCTATTTCCAGCAAATTTGTTTATCCAGAATAAAATTATGGATGCTATCACAACTCAAAGGGGAAAATTTTGAGATGGAGGGAAAGTTAAAAGTTGGAATAACTTGTAGGACACTTGTGTCATTGTAGGACACTAGTATGGTAATAATTGAGATTCCTTTCTTTTTTTTTCTTTTTTTTGAAAAAAAATATCAGTGCATTATTGTATTATGTTTCTTTGTCTAATATAAGTATTTTACAATTGATGAATTTCTGAATCTCATATTACTATATCAGGTGTATGATGTCACTCCATTCATGGATGATCATCCCGGAGGTGATGAAGTTTTGCTATCTGCAACTGGTAATATGATTATATTGCCCCTATCCAACTCATCTCTCGTATTCTGGATTGATGAGCGTCAATCAGGACACACTCTTAAGACGAGGTTGTGAATTTTGTTGAATTTTGCAGGAAAAGATGCAACGAACGATTTTGAAGACGTTGGCCACAGCGATTCTGCTAGAGAAATGATGGAAAAGTATTACATTGGCGAAATAGATACATCAACTGTTCCCTTGAAGCGCACATTCATTCCGCCTCAGCAAACCCCCTACAATCAAGACAAGACCCCTCAGTTCGTGATCAAGATTTTGCAGTTCCTGGTACCAATCTTCATCTTGGGCTTGGCATTTGCTGTTCGGAGCTACACCAAGGAGAAATAGTCAGTTACTGTCAATCTTGTGCTCTCTTGCCGGGTTAGAGAGCAATTCACTCGATTTGTCTGAGTTTCTTTTTAATGGTCCTTTTTGGTACAAACTTGTTTGAGTTTCGTTATAGGTTGGGCATGCTACTATAATTAAGAATCCGTTCATAGAAGTCAAAAAATTGGTTCTGGAGTGTCTTTTTGTCAACTGACATGCAGTAATTGACTTGATTTCTGTCTTTTGTTTATTTGTTTTTGTTTTTTGAAAATTGAAAACGAAAACTTGTTTGGATATTGTTTTTGTTTTTAGACAAGTGAAATTGACTCCAAAATATTCAAAATTGTGGAAATGAAAAATAGTTATTCTAATGACAACCGAGGCACAAAATAACAAAAAAAAATAAAGGTTAGAATATCAATATAATTTTTATAGATTTTAATATTTTGTTTTATATATTTTAATGGTAACACTTTTTACACATCTCTGGAAATTAATGATATACTGTTATTAGGGTTGCAAATTAGGGTTGCAAATGAGTTCATAGTAGTTCAAATTTGATTTGAAATTTTAAATATGTTGAAACTTATCTTGGGTATATATTGAGTCGATTTTAAAAATCACTAATACTTCAGGCTTCGAGAGTTTTAGGCATGAATGGTGCGAATTTGTGGTCACCAGTCGACTGGCTGGACGATCGAGTGAAGCACTTGTTTACCGTGGTTGTTATTCTCTTTATCAGATGATCGGCCGGACAATTGATTAAATAAATTCGAGACAAATTCGCGTCTCAATATTAGAGACCTGTAGCACCACTTATTAAAAATATATTTTTATAAGTTGAACATAAGTTAGTCCAACATTTCAGTTTGGTGATTTCACTTTCTCGTGGAACCCCAGAACATCAAACAAAGCAGCTCATTGGGTGGCACAGTATCATCTTGGGAATCTCCTCCTGCTGGATTGGGTGTCCAGACCGCCGCCTGGGCTTGGTGGCACAGATGTAGTTTCTCTTTTGATATTTTTGGTCCCCTGGTTTGTTTCTTTGTACTTTCCTCTGATAAAATAAAAAATAAAAAATAAAAAAAGTTAAGCCCAACATCAGTCAAGCCTTGACCTTTAAAATGTGTTTAAAGTTAATTTATTTATATAATGAATTGATTTTTAATTTGTTGAACATAAATCAAGCTCTACAATCTCACTTGTCATTAGCCATTTTTCTTTTATCATTAGAGAGAAAGATTTTTCCCTTCTTTTTAAAATAAATTTTCACTTTTTGAGGCTGCAATACAGTGCTCTTCTAATGATTTGATTTTATTCTTTCTTTTTGGTTGGGAGTTTAACCAGATTTGGCTAATTGGATATCAACCCTTACAAATTGAACATATCACACCTAGAGCTGATCTCATTCAACACTTGTGTTTCAGCACTTCGTCTTGTAAAACTCATTATATAAATAAGTTAAACTTTGAATGTAATTTTAAACTTGTTCCATTTGAAGTTAATAAACTAATATGCACCATAAAAAATAAGTTATTTAAACTTGATTGGTTAAAAACTCGTTCAAAATTAACTTGTTATGTAAACAAATCATGCTTAAGAACAATTTTAAACTCATTAAGTTATCAAACCAAGCTCAAATAACCGGAAAATTATTAGGTACTCTCACATACATAGTCATACTCCCTTACCAATCACCATTCATTTGGCCCCTCATATTTCTCAATCACCCAACACAAATAATCAATACCCCACTTTCTCCACCTACTCTGCTCTTTTTCAGCTATTTTTCAACTCTTGGGTAGAGCGCAGAGTAAATTACCAGAGAGATTTAGTTGTGATTTCATATTTTTTGTTTCAAAACACGTTTTACAATTTTGAAGGCACAAAAATGAACATAATACAATCAATCAGGCTTTAGAGGGAAATCATCACTGAGATTATTATAAGGCTTCCAAGAAGTCATTAAAGCCTCGAAACAGTTTCTACAAAACACTTTCAAGGGATTGACCCTTTTTAGGTTTTCATAGCTATTACAGAAGTGTAAACAGTACAAAAATAGATTTAGGAAATGCAAATTACCTAATAACTTTCATCTTTCCAATCCAATATGGTACATTTCACCGCTGACTGCAAGTCCCTGCTGCACCATGCCCTCGTGTTCAAGATTATATATACCTCATGGGAAAAAACGCAAAATTATCACTGCCAAACATGCCCCTACCATTCAAACGAACATCCAACGCGACAAGCACACCAGCTGGTGAAATTAAGCTTCAAGAGCTAAAATAAAATAAATTACGAAAAAATATGCTCCAATGGAATTTGTCAGAAGGGGTTCTTTATCTTGTCGTGGAGATTCACCACCAGATTGTGTGCATCGTCTAGAAGCTTCCACACATCAAGTTGGCCAGCCATGCTATTGCACTCCCTTATTATGTCATCCATGCTACTATATTTCTCTATGATCTGTTTCCTCCGTTGCAACACTGAAGCCGCAATTGCGTAAAGTAACAGATCTTCTGTTGGTGGAGCACGCTGCCTTACCCTGCTCCATGCAGATTTTCCAATCCCAGCCCTAATCGCAGCCTGATCAGCCCACATTACCTCCCAGAGGCAAATCGTTTGCTCGAAAGTCAATTCCCTTCTGAAGAGTACCACCACCATCCTGTAAACAAAAAAGCAATCCTCTGCTTGAAGCATCTCCAAGTGTCGGTATAGGTGAGAATCCTTGCATTTGATGATTTTTGAAACAGTGTTCAATTGCTGCCTGATTCCGACCTCGTCGAGCCGGAAATTATGCCGAGCCTTCCTCATGAAACCAACAAAGCACCAGAAAGCCTCATGGTCCTCCAGTATCACAGTTATTATTGGAGAAAGTAAATCGCTCATCCCTTGGCAGTATCCAATTTCAGGGTCATAAAGTGCATAGGCTTCAAGGATGGCGACTAGTCGAGCAGCATGGAAGACCCTGGCAGGCTCCAGGTGATCGTAATCTTTTAACGCAACAGCCTCAGCAGAACGGTGTGCCCTTTCTTCGGATACTGCAGCCTGAGATGGTGAGTATGCTATCCATTCTGCATTGGCACGAACTGCATCAAGGCGGATGATCCGCTGCCAAGTGGCAAAATCTTCAGCGTTGCGGGGTTTTGACTGGACTTCTGCCCTAGAGGGGGAAGATTCGTCCTTAAAGGGTGTGTTGGTATCATTTTCCTCCCTGGTTTCTGACAAGGGAAAAGTAGTACTCACTTCCTCAGACGAGTCTGTGTCTGATGACTCGGTGTCGAGTGCTGGGGAATTCGAATCTGTGAGTTGTCTTGAACCATCTCCTACTGACAATTCACTACAGGGGTGGTTAGTGTACTCTACGTATGGGCTCGTTTCCTCGCTAGAAAGCGACTCCCTGGCACTAACCACATCTTCGGAGTCTGGAGAATCTATGCTTTGATTGAACCTCCCACTATCCCCATTACTGCTGGTCCCGCCAGTTTCCTTCAACTTCTTGCTGTCATCGCTATGTTTTAGAAGCCGCCGACACTGTCTCCGAAGTTTTTCATAATCCTTCCTGCATCCATAGATTAAGAATAAAAAAAAAAAAACAATGGAGAATAGAAACATGATGACTATATAGCAGCAAGGGTGAAACCTTCAACAAACAAATACATTTGTGTGTGTGCGCGCGCGTGGGTGTGTGTGTGTGTGTGTGTGTGTGAGAGAGAGAGAGAGAGATGAATTTGGCGAGCTTACCTCTTCTGAGCTCTTATAACTTCTCTTTCTTCTTTGGAAGTGTTCAAGTCATAGCTGTAAAAGAAAAGGCAATTTGGTCATCACAGAGGATTTTGGGGCATCCACTTCAACATTTTTTTTTTTTTTTTTTTTTGGACAGTAAAATAACATTCATCAGGAAAAAAAAACATCCACCTTAACTAATTATAAAGACAATACAAGTATACAGCAAGGTATGACTGCATCTAATCACATACAAGCAGAAAGCAAACTTCAAAGGGAAAGAGAACAAGCACTTAATATTTACTTGTTTTGCACATCAGTTTACTCTCAGAGAGAGAGAGAGAGAGAGAGAGAGAATTTAAATTATTTGAGCTCTAGATAGCATCTGTTTCAAAAGGTGGATGTACGAGTAATGACTCTCAGGTTCATGAGGCTGCAGCTCACCACTGTATTATATTATGTCATCTCTGGAAAACATAACCAGTTGCAAAAGAACTCGTAACAAGCTATGGCAATGAACTTGAAGGTTTATAGGGCACAGCTCAAAATGCCCTACTATTCAAAAGAAGCCTGAATCAAATGATTCCAATCTTAGGTCCGAAACCCATTAAAAAAGAATCCCACAAAGCATTATCCAATAACATTGCATTTAGCACTTGAATCTCATATGATGTAAGTTTAGCAAATATCTGCTGTAACTAATCTTTTCCCACAATGTATTTAAATTGCCAAGCATGCAACTATATTTTGGACAAAAGCCATCTCAACAGCCTGTACAGGATTGCAGGTATTTATAACCAAACCAAAACTATTCATGTAGCCATCTCAGCTACATGAATTTGTTTCACCATTCTGCTCTATCAAGGATATGTTACATAGACTCTTCAATATAAATCAAATACTCGTGTCGAACACCCGGCATTTGGATAAGAGTATGAGATTTGTGTTGACACTTATATATTTGTATTAACACCATTTTATCCCACATAATAGATGTACCCTTAAATTTAAGGTCTTATGAGTCTGACCTCTATATACTTATACACCTGTAACTGACAACCATCATAATTGTTGTCACAAACCCATCATACATGTTCTTTTATTGGTCACACTCTTTTTCTCTAATACCCACCATATTATATCTGTAGGCACCCTATCATAATTTATTTATTTATTTTATTTTTTTAAATCTATGAAAGTCATATTAGATCCCTCTACTGCTCTGTGTACTTTTCTATTAATCTTCTTAGTAAACATATCGCTTCCTTAGTTGACCTATTGGGCATTAATCCAAACTAATTCTCCCCCTCTCACCTAATCCCTCAAAAATAATAAAAACAAAATAGCTCGAGTATTTCTCGTTCTTACAAATTCCCAGTCTTCAGAAAAGGAAAATATAGACAAGGAAGATTTTGAACCAAATCATAGTGTTGATATTTGGAACTGAGTGAATTTGCTCTTCAATGTAGCAATCAAAGTTTAAAAGTTCCATTTCAGGGATACAAAGCAGTTATCAAATATATGAATGGTGAACATGCTTACACTCCAAGAAGGAACGGCCAAACCTCTGCCCTGATACTTGGATCAACACCCTACATAAAATATCAGGAAATAAAATTTCACTATTTTTAAAAATAACAAGGCAAGATGTAAACATGTATAACTGCAACTTTAAATTTTGAAAAATGGAGTACTTATATAAACAACAGGAAATGGAAACTCACCGCACTTCTAACTTTTTTCAAAAATTTCACTCCACCATCACGGAACTTTCCATCTGGTGTAAACAAACTTCTCCACTGCTGAGGTGAGAGGGCATGTTTTCTTTTTCTGCGGGACCAAGGCGATTTGAGACGGCCCCTGGAAATGAAACAACAGTCATAATTAATTATCATCACAAATAACAAGTTGGGCTGATTAAACACTATCAGTAACTAAAATCACAGATAACATTAAAAATAGAATTTTCCGTGCAATGCATCAGGAAATAGAGGAAACAAAGCAGTAGGTCAGCAGCATGTCTTACTTTTACAATACGTGTGATAAGTTCCTATACCCATGCCAAAGAGAAACAAAACCAATGTGCTTATTGATTATGATCATTTCATGTATAAATTGTATTAATGCTAATTATGAAAAGAATGCAAATTAGGAAGCAGAACCTGCTCGAAAATATGTCCCTATTCCCAAGAACAACAACAGGAAATGCACCAATCTTAGAAACAATTATTCTTACAATAACAAAAAGAGATTCAATGATACAGAATCATGGACTTCCCCGGTAAAGTTATATGAACAGCTAATCTTTCACTTCCATCTTCTTTTTCTTTTCCTTAGGAAAAAGAGGACAGTAGCAAGGGCATCCAATAAATAAAGCTTGGTAGCATAAACTTGAACCTAAGGTTTCAACTATAAATTTTTCCACTTGAAGCTAATGTTCCACTCCTCTAGTTGACTACAAGCATATAGTAGTTCCAATTAGATGTCCACTACATCAAATAACGAATATACACAACCAGTCAACCATGCATCCTTCAATTATTTTATTTTATTTTTTATTTTTTTTTCGTGTGTGGGTAAGTTGCATCCTTTAAGTCCTATGCGCAGTCATCTCATTGCCTTTGAAGTTTGAATCTTAAGTTCTTGTGAATACAGGATTCTTTTGGCCAATATTACTTTAACCAATAACTTCTTCGAAGAAGAAGTTCAAAGGGGAAGGGGAGGAAAAACAGAATAGAGATGAAACAGAAGGTAGGACTCCTATCTGTGCTCCTTTAGTTTAAGAGAAAAGATAAAGGAAACAACTTAGTAACAAACTCTATAACCACTGCATTGTTGATACATGTTAATCACTATTGCAAGCCTACACAAATTTTTTGTTTTAATCAACTTAATTCTATGAGGCTGAAAAACAAATACAAATACCTGAAAATTATCCTGGTAAAGTATCTTTCTCTCTTTTTCATTTTTGTTTTTGGTTCAAATCAAAATACTACAGTCCAGTACATCAAAGTAAGTCCAACCTTGGTTTTTTTCAAATAATTCCACTCAATGTCACAAATTGAATGAACAAACTTGTCAGATAACTCTTCCAAAAAACAAAAAAGCAAGATGAATGCAACACAAGTATGTAAGCTACTTTAGGAGAGCCAAAAGCTCACGCTCGTGAAAATTTGAGACATCTTCAAAGCAAGAAAACAGGACAACCTCAAGCAAATTGAACATCATGTGCTAATGTATAAGATTGTCACTTTTAGTAAACAAGTAAGGATGACAAAATCATATTAATTGGTAATCCCTCATAAACTCTTAAAACTCAGGTCCTCTCCCCCCTCCCAGTTGAGGTTTTTTTAGACTCACAACGTATATTGAGTAAAGATCCATTAAAGTTATAAGACAAAAACATATTTCCCTTGCTCAACTTGGCGTTTTGAGAGAGAGAGAGCCTCATGGGCAGCAATTCCTCTTAAATTTCCATGAATACTTTTCAATTCTCCCAATGTGTACATTAAATTAATGACTTTGTCCCTTTAAACATTCTAATTCTAAATTGTAGACTTCAAAGCTTTTAAGACCTTTACAATCTGTCTGGTTCTTGGAAAAAAATGAGGTAATGCAAGAGGTTCAATGCTTAAAACTCAAGAAAGGATATTGCTTGCAAGCATTTCCCTTTTCTTGCCCTTGTTCTCAATATTCTTTAGACAAAATGGGGATCAAGATTATAAAAGTCAAGCCCGAAGACCAGCTTCTTTTTTTCATTTAAAAGAAAAGCATACGGCATATCTTCACGCAAGCAAGAATCAATATACAGCATATTGAAATTGATCAGTAACGCATCCAAAAGCAACAAACAATACAAAGAAATTTGACCAAGCTACTAACTGTTCCCGGTGAAAAACATGAACTTCCATAAATTTTCAAGAATATAATAATCAGCAAATTGAGACAATGCCAATCAGTCAAACCATGTGTAGCTGGTGGACTTTTTCAAACCTAACTAAAACAACTCCCAAATCCACCAAAACTTAACTATCAGAAACCACAACTCAAGGATCCAATGCGAGTAAACTATAATATCCGAAAAGAGACGGAACTGAAGCTGAGATTGAGCTAAAAGATTAATTCAATTAGAAAACGAGACACAACTCTGAGATCGAGATCTAAAATTGATGAAAACAGCAAAAATACCGAAATTAGAGCTGAATTTAAAATTATAAAAAAAAAAAAAAAGAAGAGACAAAAATGGAGCGGAAGAGAGAGAAACTCACCGATCAGAAGAACAATAAGCTGGTGAGGAAGAAGCAACTACGAATAAAACCGATCTCAAATGAATCCACGACGACGACGATGAAGACGGTGAAGAAGAATTCGAAGACGACGAAGTGTGACTTCGTCGTAGGGCTTTCATCTATCTCTCTATACCTACTTTCTAAAAAAACCTATCGAGTCCTAGGGCTTCAAAATGCGTGAGCACTGGTAAGTTACGTTACTTTTTTTACCTAGTAGTGAAGAATACGGCGGCAGCCAAGGCGATTCCGGCGAAGACCGTGAAAAAGAGAGCTAATTGTGCATTACCAGCCGCCGTGGTCGACCAGAATCCGCCGCCGGCGCCGCCGAAGAAGAGTGCGCCTTCAACACCATTAGCGGCGGAGCTGAAGAAGAGCATGGAGAAAGAGGAGAGAGAAAGAATGGTTTTAATGACGGAAATGCCCCTGAGCACGCGTAGTGCATTGTCCACCATGACCAACCCCAAGGTCCCCCAACTGCCTTTTATCACTCTCTCTCACGCTGTATTTTTCTTTTTGTGTTGTCTGGGTTGCTCTTTTCTGAATTTTTCTCTTTCTTTTTTGTTTACTCTGTCTACAGTGGGATGAAGGAAAAGGAAAGAGAGAGGAGACAGAGAGAGAGAGACAGAACAGAAGACCGGATGAGGAACCTCCCTCCCTCCCTTCTCAATTTTCAGGAAGTGATTTTGTCAAGGAAATATGTTTACTATATTCAAGGCACTGGGGTTATTATATAGTATTCGGAAACGACGGCGCATCTACGGTGTAATTGTTGCCCTCGCCCCAATCAATATTTTCCATATTTTTTTCCTGCCAATAAATGTTGCGCGACTTTTGTAGGTTTTTTTCCGTTTCAAATGATTCTAAAGGATAAATTACCCTATTTTTTTTAAGGTAGGAAAGATTACACTATTAATCTTATTATTTAATAGAGTAATGTACGTAGTTCGAATTGTGCCCCCGAACCCTCCTAATTTACGAAACGACGTCGTTTCGTCATTTTCATTTTTTTTTTTTTTTTCAATCAGAAAATCAGAAGAAGAAAGAAAGAAAGAAGAAGAAAGAAAGAAAAGAAGAAGAGAAGAAGGCACAGGTGGAGGCGACGGCGGCCGGGCGGAGTTGCGACGATCGGCGGAGCTTTGACGATTGGACGATCGGCCGAAATACAGGGACCTCTATGTGTGTGTGTGTCTCCATTCCCTCTTCTCTCTTCTCTCCCTCTCTGTTTCCCTCTCTCCTATCCTCTCTCTTTCTCCCTCTCTCTCTCTTGCCTTCACCCTCTTTTCCCTCTGTTTCCGTCTGTTTCCATTTTCGAGGGATTCGGGGGGGAGCTCATTCGAGCTCCCAAGCTTTATCCTATTTAATATTATAAATTCAGATTTAATTATTTAAAATTTATTCAAATATATTCTATATACAGAACAGAAGACCGGATGAGGAACCTCCCTCCCTCCCTTCTCAATTTTCAGGAAGTGATTTTGTCAAGGAAATATGTTTACTATATTCAAGGCACTGGGGTTATTATATAGTATTCGGAAACGACGGCGCATCTACGGTGTAATTGTTGCCCTCGCCCCAATCAATATTTTCCATATTTTTTTCCTGCCAATAAATGTTGCGCGACTTTTGTAGGTTTTTTTCCGTTTCAAATGATTCTAAAGGATAAATTACCCTATTTTTTTTAAGGTAGGAAAGATTACACTATTAATCTTATCATTTAATAGAGTAATGCTACGTAGTTCGAATTGTGCCTCCTCGAATCCTCCTAATTTACAAAACGACGTCATTTCGTCGTTTTCATTTTTTTTTTTTTTTTCAATCAGAAAATCAGAAGAAGAAAGAAAGAAGAAGAAGAAAGAAAAGAAGAAGAGAAGAAGGCAGAGGCGGAGGAAGAAGGCACAGGCGGAGGCGACAGCGGGCGGGCGGAGCTGTGACGATCGGACGATCGACCGGAATGCAGGGTCCTCTGTGTGTGTGTGTGTCTCCATTCCCTCTTCTCTCCCTCTCTGTTTCCCTCTCTCCTCTCCTCTTTCTTTCTCCCTCTCTCTCTCTTGCCTTCACCCTCTTTTCCCCCTCTTGTCCCTCTGTTTCCGTCTATTTCTATTTTCGGGGAATTCGAGGGGGAGCTCATTCGAGCTCCCAAGCTTTATCCTATTTAATATTATAAATTCAGACTTAATTATTTAAAATTTATTCAAATATATTCTATATACATATTCTACACTACATAAATTTAATTTTCACCACATATTCATCTATTTAAAAAAATTTACGTGGATAAATTTGAAATAATAAATTTATTTATTTTAATATATTCACATCAATTTTCTCTTTCGTAACGGAGATTTATGCGGTCATTTTTTTTTCTACTCTTAGTTTTTTGCATTTATAATGTAAAATGACACAATTACCCTCTATCTTTGATTATATATGTCTCTCTTTTCTCCTTTGTTCTCTAACTATCTCTTTTCATTTTTTAAAACAAAGGAGATACAAATCAACAACCACTACACACGCAACCACTATCTTTTCCTTTCACCACGACAAGCTAGAATCTCATTCTTTCTATATTGTTACATCTTCTTCCTTATCTCACCTCCATCTCAAAACTCCACCCTTACTACTTTCATCACAACCTCAACTTTTCGAACTTCATTCATCACAAATTCAACTTCTACTGCTTTCATAGCAAACCTACTTTGGTTCAAACCTTAGAAATTAAAATTACACTTTCATGGGTTGTGTAAATAATCAATTTTGAGATGCACATAGAATGCATTCATTGTCGTTAAGATTTGTAGTGAGATTTGATCAAATTGAAGGGATTGGTGAAGGCACATGATTATCATTGGGGTTGATAAAGGAAAAGGATGAGAATGGGCGGTGTTAGAGAGGAAAACCAGTTGTGCACACCACTACAACTAATGAAATTGTTGTCAGTTCTTTTTGATAGCCTAGTGGACTGTAGTAGTTGGACTTTAGAAATATAGTAGTTTTGGTGGGTTGGCTTTGGTGGTGGTAGTGAGACTATGTTGGTGGTTGGTTTTGGAGATGATGGACTTGGATAATGGTGGTGATCAATGGCAAAGTGATGGTGGATGGTTGGTTTTGGGATAGCGAGGGATTTATGTTTATTTAGGTATATATTATTGAAATATAGAATATAAGAATTTTAATGAATGTAACATTTGATTAAAATATTCATTTTAGTCTAAAAAGAGACAATATATATTTTTGGGAGATTTGGTCAAAATTTCTTATAATAAAATTTTAATACATTAAGGACAAACATAAAAAGTTTTTCTTGAAAAGTTCAACAAATATTACTATTATCAAAATATTAAACTTTAAAATAATATAATTTTTGATGTAGATGTCGGTTTTTAATAAAATGGGTAAATTACACTAACCTCCACTAAAGTTTACCTTAATTACAGATATCTCCCCTACAGTTTCAAAAATAACACTGACCTCCCTTATTTTTTAAAATAATATACAAAGACCCCCTTCTCGTTAAAAGAACCTTAACAACGTTAACTTAATAGTGAAATTGACTATAATACCCTTCAACTACATTGTGAAAAGATATAATTGACCTTTAAGGTAAAAAAACCCCTCTCTCTCTCTCTCTCTCTCTTTTCAAACCCCACACCTCTACCGTCTCTATTGAGAAAGAGAGCACAATGTGAAACGACTCTGCCATTTTGTTATCTTCTCCAGTGGGTCATGTAAGTTGACTCAGTAGGGAAGTGCAAGTCAGAGATCGGGGTGTAATCGTAGCCGTGAAAGAATGATGAATAAAAGAGAAGAGAGAAGACGATGGTGGCGATGGCAATGCCGACGATGACGGAAATGAGTCACTGCTCTCAAAGCATGTAGCGAATCGAATGAATCACAAAGGGTATGTATCGGACGTGGGTTGTATGTATCGAACATGGGTTGGGTCTCGTGACCTCTGGAATCAACTAGGTCTCGTGACCCTTGTAATCAACTTCAATCCCATTTCTCTCTCTAAATATGTATATGTATGTATGTATATATATATATATATGGGGGTTCAATCGACGATTAGGGTTTACAGAGATGAAGTTAGAAGTAGCGGCGGTGGCAATTTGATGAATCTGTGACCTGTAACCCACTTGAGATATCACAAACCCTAACCTCAAATAGAGAAGATAAAGATGATAGAGAAGATGAACAGAGAGAAAGTGGTGTTGTGACGCCCCAAATCTACACTATTGGTTATAGTCAAGGAAAAGTCACTAATGAGTCCTATGGTCAATAACCAAGTAAGATCCCAGATCGCCGGATGAGTCAAATTAGCCTCCCTTCTAAGTCCAGCTTTCTTAGGTAGCACACTACCTTTTTGACAGATCTTAAGAGACATTGACACAAGGTCTTGTAAGCGACGTCAGGGGTTATATTGGTGTTAGAATATAAGTACATAATAACAGAATAATTACGGATATCCTTAATTACAAAAGCTCGTTCCATTACATTACATCCCAAAAGAAAATCTAAATTTTCATATGAGTCTTGCAAAATATCAAAAGGAAAATTTCTAACTTTTCTAAAATAGCCAAATGTCTTCAAAGGTTTCCGGCTCGTCGTCTCCTACTGTAAGCTCCTCTTCAGCAACTGGCATGATACGCCGTGAGCTTTGAATGCCCAATAAACGCACACACACCCTATCTCTTTTTCCCAGTCCAATACACAACAACATTTACAAAAAAGACAAAGGAAAGGATCATGGCATTTAAGTTCATAGCACAGATTATATGGTCAGTTGTTAGTAGTTTAGAAATCCCCCAAAGAGATTTCGTCCTCCCAACTCTAAGAATTGGATGCGGATTATTCGGTATGCCCCCTCTTTTGCTGCTTTGTTACAGACCTTACCTCAGATGCCTACCAATGGTTATATACCACGTAGTGCCAACCGAGGGCCTCAAAAGAGACGGTAATGATGGGCCTAGCCCAAACCTCTCCTTACACCGAACTACCTAGGGTCCGAATACAACTGCTCCATTCAAGGGTTCCGAACAACCAGTTGCACAAGACTTACTCATTTTAATCCACTACTAATATCAACTTAACATTCTCATCATTTATGATGTATAACTAGTGTGGTCGTTAAACCTTTTTACCAAACCATTTAGTTTTTCCCTTTTCACATTAAGTGTATTACACATTAGTGGTTAGCACAAGTAAGAACAAAATAAGGCCATTCAAGGTGAAACTCAAGTATGAAAGTATAACATATATTACAATAATATGTCATGATAGCACAACAGCATTAACTACAACAAGAACCACATTGTTCAGATTTCCAACACTGCACCGGTTCAAAAATAAATATAGAAAAAATATTTTTTAAGGGTTTCAGAAATGTGGCTTCTAGAGGATTTGTAGAGAATCAAGTCTAGTTTCAGAACCATTTTACGGAAGTAGGGTGGCCCTTTTTGATTTTTAGATATTTAAGAAATACACAGACTCTGTCTAAATTTGACAATTGTTACAAAATTTGGTGTTTCTCTTAAAATACTCATTCATTTTCATTGAAAAAAAATTTGTTTGAAAGCTAAAGATTTTGATGTAAAAATGAACGTGATACCATTTTTATATAATTTTCTAGATTTTCCAAAGTCCTCTGTTTTAACAGGTTCTTTATAGCAAGTATTTAGAAAAATA